GTGTACCTTAATAAACTTATCTGGGGTCAGAGAACAGAAAAGCCATAAGATACTTAGGCTAGAAAATGTTAGCACACGCCTTTAATCCTAGCATTCCAGAGACAGAAATCCCTCCGGATCTCTGTGAGTTCAAGGCCACATTGGAAACAGTAGTATCATAATCCATGTGGAATCATCCCTGTGGGGCCCCATCATCCTTTTGGAAGCTTCAAAGGTTGCTGTTAAGCATGGTCATGGTTCACTGCAAAAAACTGATAAGAGACTCAAACTGGAAATCATGTACAGGAAGCTAGATGAAGCCTTTTTCTAGAATTAGTTAGTACTCTATATGACCATTAATATCATGACAAAAGTTTAAAACATATATATTAATCTTATAAATTTTGAGATAACATTTACATTTTGAGAAAAGCTTTAAAGAGTTAAAATAAAACCAAAGGATTATAAAATTAGTGGCTTTAGTTAGTCCTTTAATTTTTTTCTTCTGTCCCATATCAGGTGGCTTTTCTGATATGAGACAGAGATTTTGGATTTGACTTTAACAAGCGTGCTTGGGTTTAGAGAAGGAGAGAGCCACACTCCAACTCCAAAGCCAGTTTTAATTTTTTAATTGGACTGGGACTACATAAAGACCATTTGCAGCCAGGTGGTGGTGGCACACACCTTTAATCCCAGCACTCAGGAGGCAGAGCCAGTGGATCTCTGTGAGTTCAAGGCCAGCATGGTCTACAGAGCGAGATCCAGGACAGGCACCAAAACTACACAGAGAAACCCTGTCTCAAAAAAACAAAAACCAGGGCTGGAGAGATGGCTCGGCAGTTAAGAGTACTGGCTGCTCTTCCAGAGGTCCTGAGTTCAATTCCCAGCAACCACATGGTGGCTCACAACCATCTGTAATGAGATCTGGTACATAATAAATAAATAAATCTTTTAAAAAAAGACCATTTGCATTACATGTCTGTAGAGAACAACAGAAACAAATATTTAGGAAGATTTATGAAATTTCATCCTGTTGAAAATGTGATATATCAATAGGCCAATTTATTCTTTTTTTTTTGGTACATTTTTTCTGGATGATTTGTCCTTTTTCTTCAGATGTCTCACTTGTCCAGTAGTCTTCAGATTCCTTAGCAGGAAGCCTTCATTCTTCTGGAAAGATAAAAATAAAACCCCTCCCCAGCCCTAATTTGGAAGTTTTCTTATGGCAAGTTATATCTGAACAAATGAGAAGCACTTGTTAGTGGTATAAGTCAGTTTAAATTGAATGGTCATGCTGGTTGATGAACTATCACCTCTTCTAATTATGAGGTCTCTCTTGTTCAAATTGAATCTTGATCATTTTGATAGTATCCATAGCTTTTCTTCTCCTGAGGAAACAAAAGCAAAACCTCTTCCCCAACGTAACACATCTTCTGGTTTCCATTCTGAAGTCAGCACATCTTTAATGAAGTAGGCTGATATAATTCTTTATCCAACGTCTTCCCACAGCTGTTGTTCCTTCCTCATTAGCATTTAGAAAATTCACAGTTAATAAAGTGCTATGCAATCTATTTCTGGGAGTCCTTATTATCCCTTTCTGTTTATTTAGCATATCCTTTAGAGTTCAATTTGATCTTTCTATGACTGCTTGTCCTGTAGGATTGTGTGGTATACCTGTAATATGCTTTATATTGTAATAAGAAAAAAAAAACTGTTTCATTTTATCAGAGACACATGCTGGAGCATGGTTAGTTTTAATTTGCCAGGTGGTTCACAACCACCTGTAACGTCCAGCTCCAGGGGATCTGGGGACACACACACACACACACACACACACACACACACACACACACACACACACTTGACAATCTCCCCTGCCTAGACAAAATCTCCTTGGCTCTGACATGCATCATTTTATAACAGCCTCTTTCTTGTAATGACGTGGAGCCCTGAGGACTCTAAATCCTGGGAGTTTCTCAAAAGGGTTTTTGTGATAAGGACCATAGCGGTGCCTACATGGACCAAAGCAAGAGAACTTTCTAGAATGAGGGTAAGTGTTTTTGTTTTACCCAGGTCACCCATTGCCTTGCATATGTCAACACCACCACCCTGGCACTTTCAGGGCCTATACGTATCAATGAATGCAACTTTTTGGGCTGTCCCTTATCTGTTTTCAGCTTAAAGCAGACACAGAATGCCTGTGTTCCTTGGGGTTAGATGAGCAAGGATGCACTAGATCAGCCTGACAGAGGCCATGGCCACACGAAGGGAATGGCTCACCTAGATGCTCATTACCACCATGCTCTCCTACCACAGAAACCATCCCTGTGCCCACCAACAGCTGGACCTCCAAGACCCAGCTGGAGAGACCTTCTCACAAGACTTAGAAGGGGAGCTTGGACAGTTCTCCTAGGAAGGTAGAGATGTTTATGTATTGCTCACCTGAAGCACAGATTCTTGCCCTTTTCTGAAAGTCCCTCTGGGACCCATTGACTAGGAAATGTGCCCCCCTCCACCTCCTGGCAGAAAATCAGGGCTTGCTTGGAAGGGAGTGGGCTGCAGGAGCTATGAGTCTTGCAGAGTGGGGTGTGGGCTCTTGCATACTCATTGAGCATCCATGGCTGTGCAAACGGGCAAGAGGTGATACCCACAAAGCATGGCCCAGTCTCCCTCACCTTCTTCCCTCAAGATGGGCCATGGGAGGCACCTTGGGATTTCTGGCCCCGTTGTTAATCACCTGGTTGTGGTCCTCTTGCTCCACTCACATAGTTCAAGGCCCAACCTTGCCAGTTCTTTGTTGCTCTGAATATTTGACACCAGTGAGAGACAGCAAATGTCAGACAGAAGCAGCGGCAGGTGGCACCCTCTAGTGTCGCAGCTCTCGGGTGGCTTCAGGTAGCCAGACCCTTCAGTCCTTCGAGCACTGTAGCTTTTTTCAGCCTGTAAAGCAAGGATTCCTCAGCTCTCGGTAACGGGCAGTGTTACAGCTCCCAGCCCTGGGGTGTCTTAGGCCCTTGGTTCTACAGTCTTGACAGCTCTTGGGAACGTTTCAAGTGCCCACAGCCTGCGGTAATTCCTGACTCTTTCCAGCGTCCTGTCCTTAGGCCGCTGCTCTCCACCCTTTCTGCCTCCACTCCTCTTGTTTTGGACCTGCCCCATCCCTCAAATAGTTCAGGGCCGCCCGTTACTATGGCCCCCGTCGCGGCTGTTGAGTCAGGACGCAGTGGCTGCTGCAGGCTACCACTCATCCACGGTGCTGCTTCGCAGGTGCCCATGCAGCCAGAGGCTCTGACGTCTTTGCAGCTTGGCCTGACCACTGCTTGGCAGCACTCACTGCCCGCTTCTGAAGCTTGGCATGCCAGCTCCGCTGCTCCGTTGTCTCTCCTGCTCCTTTGTGAGTGTGTGACTTAGCTCAGCCCGCACCGAACATAGGCAAGACCAGTCAAGCCGAACACTGGGGCATATGCCCGTAATGCCGGCACTTGAGAAGTGGAGGCAAGATGATCAAGAATTCATGGTCATCTTGGGCTACATGAAGCCTTGTCTCAGACAAACTTACAAACAAAACCAAAAATTACACTCTAGGACAGGTTTTTTTTATTGGGCCCAATGCTGCAGTACCAGGGTAGGCAGCAAAGGAGGCCGTGTGTCAGATAGCTCATCAGACCGGATATGGGGTGTCTCATCCCAGTCATAGCAAGCTTGTTATGCAAACAAAGTTTGTGTTGGCACCAATCACAGTATCGCTTCCTTTCTCCCATTCATAACAGTCCCTCTGCAAGGCCACCAGGGCACGTGGGCCACCTCTGGCCTGAGTAGAAATGATCGTGAAGTCACCTGGAGTTCCCCAAGATGAAGCACCAATAGTTTGGGACAGTCTTGGATGGGGCTGAAGCTCGGGAGCTAGAGCGAGAAAGGGCTCAACAGTGTGGAATATGTAAGGTTGTTGGATTGACAGCTCTTTGGGGGAGCAAGAGAGAGTCAACAGCACTGGAGTCATATTGCCCCATCCCTATTTACAGGAAAATGGATCAACAGAAAGGTTGATTCTAAGTCAAAGAACCTGTCATTGACATTAACTGTGAGTAGTTTCGATGATTGGTTTATAATGCTTGACACCTGCCAGGTACCCGGGGACAGTTGGGCTCCCTTCCTCTCTCAGGACCACATCAGCCCAGGGCAGAGAGATGGCAGAGCTGCCTACGCGGGGAAATGGCAGCCAGTGGGAGTCTGCCCTCCTGATTGCCTGGGAGGCTGAGCTCTTCCAGCCTCCCCTCCACTGCCACCAACGCACCTGTGCCGGAGGCAGTGGGAGCCAGAGTCCTGCGACACACCTGTAGGAGCCATGCAGACATTTCCAGGACACGTCTCACCACCACCTCCCACAGCCAGTCTCCAGCTGGGATGGGAACACATCTGACCCTGTGTGCTTGAACCACTGTATCCTCAAAGCCCAAAACATTGTTCTCTCTCAGGACCCCTCAACTGTCACTCAGGGGCTGACTTCTTAAGTACCCCCTCATTCAGCTTCTTCTCCTGGAGATTTGGAGCCACATCCCTACATTCAGTGACATCCTCCAGGTGGGGTGGCTGGCTCTGCCGCAGGCCCGTACTGCATGCCATGCAGATGGCTTGTGAGGAGCCAAACTCCCTCAAACATAAACACTGAGGCCAGACAGGATGTGAAGACAGGGCTCTGAGTTCTTCCGCCCCCCCAGCTTAGAGAGACAGAGCAAGGGCTCAGATTCTCTCATGGTCTCAGCAGGCTGGCCCGGGTCCAGGGACCTGATGGCCAAACCCTGCCGGTCCCAACTTCCCCTGTTGCTTTCTGGCCCAGCTACACATCACTTCAAGAGGGTTCTGCAGCCAGCTCTCGGATGTGAACAGTTATGTGGGGGCCTTTGGCTGCCTTCCAACAGGACACAGGATGTGTGTGGACAGGCTGTCCACAGAGCTGTCAATCACAGAACAGATAGGGGCATAAGGGAGTGAGCTGCAGGCCAAGGCGTCCACCAGAGATCATGGTAGTCCTGCTAGTGCTGGGCCTGGTGCTGAGTCTTGCTGCTGCGCAGTTCAACCGGGAAACTATTTCTCAGAAGAACTACAACATGGCCAAGGTGGGCCAAGGCTTCTGGGGCTAGGCTGGGCTTCATGAAGAGCACCTGCCCTCCCTTGACTGGGTGGGGCGCTTGACCTGGAAACAGGGAGTCTGGGCCATGAGAGCCCCTCCCAGCCCCAGCCACGGTAGCAGCCAGAGGGTGCAGAAGGAGCCCCGGGAGGAATCAGGCAGAGGGAGGGCTGGGAGGGCAAAAGGAGGTCCCAGCTTGGAGCGAATGTTCAGGGACTCACCCAGGAGTGTGGCCCCGAGGGCCAAGCAGCCCCAGGGCTGTTACAGGATTCCCATCACTCAGCTTTTCCTTCCAGATTTCCGGGATCTGGTACTCGATTTTCATGGCCTCAGATAACATGACACGCATTGAAGAAAAAGGAGACCTGAGGATCTTCATGCGGAACATCAATCCCTTAAAGAACGGCAGCCTGAAGTTTGACTTCTTTTTCATGTGTGTATTGCCACCCCCGCCCCTCAAGTTGAAACTAGGGGAGACTGTGTTCCCAGGCCCCACAGGAACTTCATACACTCACACACCTGCCCACTGGACCAGCTCTTCCCCGGGAATCATCATGATGGGATCAGGGGGTGCCCTGGCCTGTTGCTGGGTTCTGTGCTCCTCCCCGTGAGAAAAGCTGAAAGGCCCCTTCTGAGATGGGGTGGTTATGGAAAACAAGGTACTAGACTTGGGGGTTCGATGACCTCCTGTCATGACCCCGACAGGGGGAAGGGGCTGGTGCTTGCTCTGAGTTCCTCCCCTCACGGTCCTCCAGGGTGCAAGGAGAATGTGTAGCTGTGACCATGGTCTGTGAAAAGACAGAGAAGGATGGGGAGTTCACCGTGGCCTGTAAGTGGAATCCCTGTTCCTCCTGCTCTGACAGCCAGGAATCTTTTCTGCTAAGGCCTTGCCCACTCTGGTGAGCACTCACCCCAACCCTAAAGCAAGAGCACCCCAGCCTAGGGGGATCTCAAGGGTCCCCAGCCTGGCCCTCTCTCTGGATATCACTAGCCTGGGACTACCAGAGAGGCAGAGTACTATGCTGAGGCTTGTGGAAGCAGCACACAAAGGCCCGTCTTCAGGCAGACAGGTAGGGCCATGGCACCCTGTTACCCCCACTTTCATGCCACAGTCTCCTCCTGAGCCAGCACTGGGCATCCAGACTCCTACTTCTTCCAATGCCTACTTAACGTTAGCTACATGAGTCGGATGGCACTCACCCCAGCAGTGAAGGTAGGGTATCCCGGTGCCGGGGCAGAGGGTGTGTTCAGTTCTATCTCTGTGCAGATGAGGGAGAAAACAGGGTGCTGCTCACGGAGACTGACTACAGAATGTATATCACCTTCTACATGCAGAACATCAAGAATGGGACCAAGACCCATGTGCTGGCGCTCTATGGTAACCTGACTCCTGTCTGCTCGGGAATCCCAGCCACTGGTGGTGGTGGGGGGGTCCTCCCATGGGCCCTAGACACGTGATGGAATGGTACCTTGGGACCCTTCCCCAACACAAAGTCCCAAATTTGTTCCCAGGACGCCTCCCAGTGCTTAACAGTTCTTACCTGAAAAGATTTGTAAACATCTGCAAAAAATACAGGCTGAATTCACAAAATATCATCGACTTGACCAACAAAGGTAGGTTCCCTGATCTGGCCCAGAAGGGGTCCAGAGAAGGCAGCATTGTGGCTTGGTGTGCCTGGCACAGATGCCTTGAGGGTTGGGGTGGGGTCAGGGGGAGGCTCAGCAAGCCATCTGACATTCTCTTGTCTCTCCAGATCCATGCTTCTCTAGACGATAGAAGAGCTACTCAGGCCTTCTGGTATGTGAATTTCCATCTGAAGGCAGGACATGGCAGCCCAGGGCGCTGGGAGCTGGGCAGGGTAGCGTAGAGCCAGTGTCGGAAGCTGGGGGGTCCATCCCAGAGTGACCATGAGCCCACACTCTGCCTGTTACTGGGTTGTCCTGCAAAAGCAAAGGAGCACACAGCTCTTTGTAGAAGACTGTGTGTGACATATTCCCAGAATCAGGGTTGTAGTGGGGCTTTATGTTGTGTGAGTAGAGCAGGAAACCTGGCCCTGTGGAACTGCCCTGGATGCTGTGTTCAGAAAAGTGTAGCATGTGGGGTTTACTGTCTTGCAACTTTCCAGCCCAGAGCCCAGAGATCCAGGCAATGCGGAGCCAGCACTGGGCATCCTGGTCCTGATGCTAGCCTGTGGTCACATCTCCCTACTCCTCTGCCTCTGTCTTCACACGACCTTCTGTGTCTGCATCTCCTCCTCCATCATTAGATTTAAGCCACCCAGGCATCCCAACTGATCTCACCCGATGTCTGGAGACTCTTGCCAATAAAGTCCCTCCTTTGGTCTCGGCATGAAGACAGGCATGTGTTTGGGGATGTGGCATTTGGCACTTCGAGGTCCTTTCTTGGGAATGGGCCTCCATGGTAGTAAAGACCACCCTCAGAGCATCCCAGAGACTGGCACCAGCGTCACCTCTTAAAGGATCCTGCACACAGGCCCTGAGGCTCTACGGAGACAGAGGGCCTGTAAGGCCTGACAGTTTCAGGGGGGCTGAGCCCTGACTGACCAGCTCTGGGACTGGACTCCCAGGGGGATCAGTGATAGCAGCCCAGCTAGGGTAGGAGTCCGTTCCACGTGTTGGTGAACACGTGGCGGTGGTGTGGGCTGACAGTGACCCTAGTGGGCGTGTAGCAGAGAGATGTAAATGCTGTACCCACGCAGGCGGCTCTGCATAGATGCTCTCAGCAGCTTCATTCATGACCACGGCCTGCAACAGGTGACAGACTGCAGCAAGCCAGGTCTCGGGTCAGCGGAAGGAGAACAGTGGCAAAACAGCAGCAAAGGGGGCAGAAGAGAGGACACAGTCAGGGACCAGGATGAAGTGTGGCTGCAAGGGGCAGCAAGATGGCCCCAGCTGTGCTGAGCAGTCACCGAAGGACAGAGGTGGTGGATGCACAGCCCTACACAACTGATAAAATGCTCAGCATCTAACACACACATGCACACACACTCTCACATGCACACACATTCTCACATGCACACACACTCACATGCATACACACTCACACACACACAGGCATACAGGAACATGCACATGCTCATGTGCTCACACATACACTTGCTCACTCATATGCATATGTGTGCAATGCGTGCATATATACAGGATCACTCACATATACACACATATCCATGCTCATATGCTCACATATGTATACTCACATACACGTATGCCCGCATGCACATGTGCATACAGACACATGCACACATAGTCACACATACTCACATATTCACACAGGTAGAAATGCTCATATATACGTACACCCATGCTCACTCATGTATATACATACATGTGCACATGAACACACACAGGATACATACTCACTCACATATGCACAACACGTTTGTGCATGCACACACATTCACATACTCTTACTCATTGCACACACTCACCCCTCAGTCACAGGAAACAGGAAAAACCTCTCAGGGCAGGATTGACCGACCTGTGTCTTGTGGGACTTGATCTTGGTGCTGACAAGGGTTACCATGGGGGTGGCTGGGCAATCCTGGGGACCACTCTGATTTCCCCAATCCTCTCCAAATAAAAAGTTAAAACCAGAATATATTTGTCCTCTGACTCAACTAACATCCCCTCATCTGTGGTGCGCCTTGGCCTGGCTTCCCAACACCTGGCCCAGGCTTTATCATCAGCCTCAGTTTTGCCTCTTTGCTGGTAGCCCAGGCTCCTCCCAGGCCTCCAAGACCCCCGGGACAAGGACCACACTTCATGGCACATTCCGCTGAAGGAGCAGCAGGCTCTGGCCTCTCCCCAGCCCTGTCTGAGTGAGGAGTGTCTGCACTGAAAGACGCTGGTGGGGCAGACCTGGCTGGTGTTAGCTTTCACGGTGCTCTGTGGTGTAGGACTGCCCTGGAGCCACACTGCTGAGTCACATTAGTGATTGCTGGGATAGGAGCCCCCAAGGCTACTTCAAGTTATAGCTTGGGCATCAGTCTGTCCCTGGAGCACTCCAGCTGTGGAGCAGGGGGGCAGGCGGAGCTTGATAGCCTTCTGAAGGACTTGCCAGCAGACAGAATGGCTCTGTGGGGTGAGTGGAAGGTACCTGGCACTCCCAGGCAGCCCAGCTTCCGGATCCTTCAGTGCAGGGTGCTGAACCACAGCTGGGACAGATGTGCAGGAAGCCTTTGTTACTTTTCTTGTACCTGCAGCAAAATCAGCCGAAGAAAGGGTGGGTTTATCGGGGCTCACAAGAGCACGGCTCCTTGTGGTGGGGAAGGAGTGACGGGGGGGGGGGGGTCCCTGTCACACTGCACCCGCACTCAGGAAGCAGAGAGCAGTGAGCTGGGGTGCTCGTCGCCCTTGCTCTTTTTTATTCGGTCTGGGACCCAGCCCACGGAACGGTGCCATGGATATGTAGGGTGAGTCTTCCATCTCAAGGAACTCCATCAAGAAACTCCCTCACAGGCATGTTCAAATGCTGTTTTCCAGATTATAGATCCTGTAAATTGACAATATTGACCATTACAATTGGGGATCAGAATAATGGCTGTCCTGAAGAATGGTAGAAAGTAGAGGACTAGCACATGCAGAGACTTGCAGACCACTGAGACACCTGTGTCCCCTCCTAGAGCAGCATGGAGGAGATGAGCCCATAGCCAAGTGTCTCCAGGTCTGCACATCCTAGGACTGCTCCTGCCCTACGGGTTCTCACCCCACAGCCTTCCAGTGGGGAAGGAAACAGGACAAGAATATCTCTGCATGCCCCACACCACTGGCCTCCTAAGAATTTCACTGAGGTAGAAGACCCTTGAATTTTAGTTGGATTTATTTCACATCCTCTGATGAGCATATATGTTACCAACAAGTCCAAGTGGTTGCTACCTCCTGCTCACTTGGTCCAATCAGCATACATTGTCATCAACATAGTGGAACAATGTGATATTTTATGGAAAAGACAGACGATCAAAATCCCTGGGGAGTTAATATATCCTTGAGGTAAAACTGTAAAGGTATACTGCTGGCCTTGCTAACTGAAAGCAAATTGCTTCTGGTGGTCCTTATGGACTGGTACTGAGAAAAAGGCATTTGCTAGATCAATAGCTGTATACCATGTACTAGGAGATATGTTAATTTGCTGAAGTAAGGACACCACATCTGGTACAGCAGCTGTAATTGGAGTCACTATTTGATTGAGTTTTCCATAGTCAACTGTCATTCTTCACGATCCATTTGTCTTCTGCACTGGCCAGATGGGAGAGTCAAAGGGAGATGTGTTGGGAACCACCACCCCTGCATCTGTCAAGTCCTTGATGGCACTCATTTCTGCAGTTCCTCCAGGGATGTGATACTGTTTTTGATTCACTATTTTCCCTACAAGAGGCAACTCTAAAAGCTTCCATTTAGTCTTTCCAACCATAACAGCCCTCACTCCACAGGTCAGGGAACCAATGTGAGAATTCTGCTAACTCTAAGTATATCTATCCCAGTTATACATTCCAGGACTAGAGAAATAACCACAGGACGAGTTTGGGGACCCACTGGACCTACTGTGAGTCAGACTTCAGCCAGAACTCCATTAGTCAATCACTTGGTCTCTATAAGCCCCTACTTTAACTGGAGGGCCACAGTGTTTCTTGGGATCTACTAGGGTCAGTGTCAATTCAGAACCAGTATCCAAAGACCCTGGAAAATCTGATTGTTTCCTTTCCTTTAGTGTACTTTACCCTTGTAAAGTCTGTAGGTCCCTCTGAGGAAGGACTGGGGAAAGGCTGACAGTAGGTATTTTATCAAGGTCCTTCCTCAGGGGAACCTGGCTGATCCTTCACTCAAGGGGTTCTGGGTCTGCAAACTGGCTCAAGTCTGGAAATTGGTTTCACAGGCTGAGTTCTATCTTTTGCCATGATCTGATGTGGCCTTTCTTTCATTTGTTTGAGAATTTTTCTGCTTAGATATATGAAATAAAAACACTGTAGGCTTCTTATCTGTTCCATGCCTGGAAACACCATGACTGATTAGCCAGTACCAAAGGTCCATATGAATCACGCCACCATAAAACTCACTTTGCCTGTGCTGCCCATTGTGGGTCAGGCCACTGTGGACATTGCTTTGTCTATGCTACCCATCATGATAATCACCTTGCCTTTGGAGATTCGCCGTTGCAACCCGGCCCCTGCGACTTCAAGGTCCAGCTAAACCCACTGCATTGATTCATCCACCTGAGCAGCATCTCCAACTTTGAGGTTGACGTAAGGAAAAGGAAGACAACAAAGCTCTTCCGGCATGTGGGTGCCCATCTCACCATTGTGCATCTTATCGGATTTGTGGTGGGCATGTCTTCCGGGCCTTCCCACTGTGGAGGATGTGGTTTTACGCAGTGTACCCACTCCAGCACTGCAGTATCTCTGAGTCTAAAACCCCTTCATCAACACTAAGCTAAAGGGGTATCAGGCATCTCCATCTCATTTTCAGTGGACCTTCTTTTAACAAATGCTTTAGACAACCATTCAAACAAACCTCTGACACCTTTTTTTTTTATTTTATTTTTTATTTTTTTTTTGGTTTTTCGAGACAGGGTTTCTCTGTGTAGTTTTGCGCCTTTCCTGGAACTCACTTGGTAGCCCAGGCTGGCCTCGAACTCACAGAGATCCGCCTGGCTCTGCCTCCCAAGTGCTGGGATTAAAGGCGTGCGCCACCACCGCCCGGCTCCTTTTTTTTTTTTTTTTTTTTTTTTTAAACTGTGAGAGCTTCCATACTAAACCTAGA